ATTGCCCTCGAATAATTATTTCCATAGTAAATTAACGATTGTCTGCGATACGAGCCCTAACGTCGTTTTATTCTATTATATTCTACTGAGAAGAATCCTAATATAAAATTTACACTTTACGAAGAAACTCGTATACTGTCCATCAACCTTGGGATGCTAGAGTAGTCGAAGTGCAATTAATTGGAAGGTAATTGAAACGGAATCCAATTTTCGATACTATAGGTGACAGCATCGATTCAACGAAAGATCTCGAAAGATTTCGACGGTGAAAAAGCGAAAGGGAAAGAACCGAATCTATATTTTCGCAGGCTCGCGCGGGAACCTTTGAATAGACGCGATAAGGATCTTATAACCATGCAAGGGGACGCCTGGATGGATGGCAGGGTGTTGTGAAATATAAAGTAAACTACCTGACATTGTCGCGATACGAAGAGGCGCATCGCCGCTTGAATATTGATGCACCCGGTTTCCGAAGGGAAGATGAAAGGGGCTGTTCTCGCTGGAAGGTTTTTTAATAATGAATTCGAACCTTCTTCCTCGCGGATTTTCTCCCGGACGCCCGAACGATGCCTCCGTTTCTCGGGCCAGCCCCCCTCCGTTTCCTTTGAATGCGCGGAACGGAGGCAAAAGGATTGGTATTTAAATTTTCTTCGGACGAAGTGCCCCTAAAAGACTAAATTTCGTCTTTTCCAGCGGGAGGAAGTCTCCCACTGCAAACAAGAGACGCCCGAAGTTTTCCTAAAATGGACGTAATCGCGTCAAGGGCTTAAATCGCCGAGACTAGAACCACACATCTGACCCCAGAACTGACTGATGGGCTTCGTCGTTTCGCTAACGTGATTTCATGTCGTCGACCTGACGGGTAGCTGTCGGTCTTCCAGAGCGGCCATTTTTAGAATTCAGGCTAATCAGAAGGAACACTGCTCCGCGATTCTAGCCCTCCTAGATATTTGAAATTCTTCGATCTCAAACAGTACGAGAATCCACCTAACCGGACGATTTAAAGTAAGATCGAGTCGATTTTTTGCCGCCAAAAATGATTCAGCACCTCCAGGGTTAATAAAATATTGCACAGCAAGCGGCACCTGTTGGCAAACAGCTAACAGTGCTCGTCGAGATCACGTTGGATCAATATTACGAGACGATGGTAAGAGAAAGGCTCGTGTATACTCGGTTCGAATCTCCGCTACGAACTCGCGCGATATTTCGCATGTATTTCAATCGAGATTACCCAGATTCCACACTGAAAATCGAGAAATTTTCAACGAACAAAAATAGCTATGGAATTTTTAAGCCACGTTAATATTTCTGATTGAATGTTTCAACGATAGCGTCGTTGCTCTTCGATCGGTATTTTCTTTCGGAAACGTTCCCAGCTGTCTGTTCTCTTTATTTTATAAATTTCACTTTAGATTACCCTTCAATCTGGCAGTCAGCCACCTGTCAGCGGCGCAAGGATATCTATCGACGTTTCCAGCGAGCAAAGTATTGGCAGCTTTCAAGCAATTTCGACACTCTTCCCGACGCGTCGATTCGCACGAAATGTCTAGACGAAATCCTCGCGATCTTCATAGTCGCAGTCGATCGATTTCTCGATCGACAGCTCATTGTCTGGCGAACAATGTAAAGGAACGAACGGCGGGCGTTTCTGGAAACGAGATCGTAACGAAATCACTTGGCTGTTCGATGCATCCTCGAGCGCTCGTTCTCCGAGCTCCAGCTACATTGAAATTCGCGTGACACTTTGTAAAAATAAAATTCAAATATTTTGAAGCTTTCCAGCTCTTTGAAGAGCGCAAACCTAAGAAGCAGACCGGATATTTCGACTCTCGCTGGTGCCAAGTTCACGGAAAACACGAATACTCGTTCTCTAAGGTCCCCGCTGACGTTGCAAATCTCTCGTAGATAGATAATAAATTGCGACACCGATTTATTCGTCGGTCAATATTTTCAACGGCTAGCAACACGCTCCGATAGCCATGTGGTTTGCGGTTTACGCTGGTCCACGTGCGATTAATTTCGTTACGTAACGATACTATGATGTGAGGTAATGAGGAAATAACAAGTTCGCCGCGATAAGAGACGAGTTTAGCGACGTGGGATTGCGGATCGATTCACGGCAATTTTGAAACTGGTTCCGCCGGTTCGCGGCAAAAAGTCCGCTTATTGCAAGGCGCTGCAACGGAGGTGAAAATAGAAAATGCTCGCCGATTTGTCCGGTAATTTAAAGGAGCAATAAACACAGACCGCGAGATGCAGCGCGGTAATTAAGTCCTAACCGGTACGGAAAAACAACTTGCTATTTCAAATAACGAGTGAGATTAATTTCACCCGAAATTAAAAACGTCTAAGCAACCAAATTAACGAAATCAGATATCGACAGGGAAGTCAAATGTTCCGCGCGTTAATCAAGCTTTTAACGAGGATCGGAAGTAAAAATATGATCCGTCGAAACGCCTTTCTAAAGCGAGTTAATTCCGTATTAATCTTTAAATTTCTTTACTAAACAGAGAATTGTTATTATTACCGAAGCGAAATCGTAGAGTCGAGGAGGAAGGCTGGGGAAAAATGTTAAACAGGACGATAACGAAGTTCCGATCGACGTTGCCGCACGAATTCGAGCAACGAACAGCGTCCTGACGTCGTTAGCTCTCGCATAATCCGATCGGCGAAGTTTGTCGGGGCCAAACCGGCTGTTTACTTATTCGACGGGCTTCCGATAAATTCGTTTCGCTGGAAACCACCAAAATGCACGCCGGGCGATAATCGATTGGGCATTTGTTCGGTAGACTGGAAGCTACCGATACCAATTGTAGAGCGCCTGTACGAAGTATGTGGCGATAGAGGGTGGCCCACGGAAAACGTTCCGACAGCTCGGGGAATTATGTGGGCTTTATAGTCGAGACACGAAACTGCCGCCTGTGATTGGGAATTGTTGCTTTCCCTCGCGCGCCTATCTTTCGTTATTAACCTCCTATTTTTCCAACTTTGTCTCGCTCTTACCAACGTAACCACGTCAATTTCGCGTAATTGTATCGACTTCCGGCGTATCGCCGTTCGGAACCTCCGTCGCCCAGGAATCGACGAAATCAAAGGGAAAGCAACGGATCTTACGTTATTTCACGGATATTTAACTTTTCAAATGCTAATTCGCCATTTTTCAATCCGCGATTCGACCTTAAAACGACGTCGCGTGTCCGTTGAGACCTCCGGGAAGCTTCCATTAAGGATTTAAGAACGAAGAGGGAGGAAGGTGAATAGTAATTTCCTATTTTTGCATTTGAAATAAAATCTGCGGAAATTTATGTCGAAATTGATCATTTGAACGACAAATAACGCGAGTGGTAATAGAAATAATTCTGTGTGGTTCGTTCTGAAAGAGACGAAGCGCGCGAGTCGATGGTCTCGAGATCGCAAGTAGATACAGACGTTGTTAGTCAGACGATCTAGCGCGGCGAGATCCCTCGCGAAGGAAAAACATTTATAATTAAGATCACGGTGGTTTCAGCCGAACAAAGTGGAGCTACGGTAAATCTTAATGATCCAACGAACGCCTCGTTAATCATTTACGAGAGAGATTAGCCCCGCTGACTCAGCCATTAGCTTTGTGTGACAGTCGGAGAACGGCGTGTATTTCGTTTCCCGCGGGACGGAACGACGTATTAACGTTCTCCGCACGCTTTCAAATCTCCTGCTAAGCCTTCTAATTCCGGACCCGTTACTTTTTGCGACGATAAGGGTGGAGTCGTGGCCACAGCTCCTCGAGAATCAAGGATCTTTGTTAACCTCGAGGCTGGCCAACGACAGATGCGCCAAATTGGAAACCAAAATTCGTCTAAAATATCAGGCCATTCAATAAGTCTGGGTGGACTTTTGTAACAAATACAATATTTTAAATCTTGATGGCCTGATGTTTTCAAATTTTTTACCCACTATGATGCAGTGCACGAAGTGATAACCAAATGGAGCAATAGCTGTAGAATAATGTATGTACGACGGGATTTATCACCAAGATTCGCGTAAAATTTTTTTGATATTTCTGACGCAATGAAAAATTATTTTGTTTGCATTTTGGACTTTCTAAATGACCGTAATATTTTCACCACGATACCACCCCCATTTTTCTTTATAAAGCAGAATTATTATTAATATTATTTACCTGCGTTGTAAGGCCTTGGTGGCACGGGCCCAGAAACTTGTTTGCAAACGTTTATGGAGGAATGCGATTGTGTATCCGCGCTATGCATAGATGGGAGATTCAAGGATCAGTTTTAGAAGGAATTGCGAGTCAGCCTGCGCAAGGCCTGCACGTCTCGCAGCACAAACGAAAACAGAGCGATTCTACATGCAAAAATGAACGAAAAACGTAGAATAATATTTTTTCGAACGAGTTATCCAGCCTACGAATCTCTGCATTTCCAGGTCGTGTTTCTATGCGTATAAATTTAATTATGCGAAAGTAATATTTCTGGTTATAAATTGTTGCTTAAAAAACATTTACAAGCGCAGTAGACATTTATAGCTGGACTTATTGCATGGACTTTCGACCGAAACAAGTTTTGAAATTTTCTCGTAAACAGAGACCCTTGTACGAAAAAATGTTATTCAATGGCTTAGATTTATTTTTAATACTTTAACGGCCGCCGTCACGAGTAAGTGACTTCACCGTTTCGGTCACTTATTTGTCGAGATTGTCGAGGGCTTAATAAAATTGATATTCGTATGTTTTCGTAATTCTAAGACTGAGTGGAGGTAAACATTTGCATATTTATAAAATGTCAGAAATTTAAACTGTTTTCGCGTGAAACTTGCGGTCATTAAAGTGTTAAATCGCCTGCCTTTCAGCTGCAAAACTTACTATGGGACAATCTTTTTCGGTAAATAATAGTACTGAATATGCACTACAAATACAACCACAAAGTAAAGTATGATACACGAGTTAAATAGAGAAGGAAATTGTAAACATCTTCTGTACCACCCTCGAAGTATTCATTCTGTATAAATAAATCGTATAATTTCTATCAATGTTATTATTACAACCTGTATTTAATATATTTAATTTTCTATTTGAGCCAGTCGAGAACCGCAGAATTAAAGGCGAAAGATCCTCTGTTAATCAACCGAGCATCGAAACGCAGACTCTAGATTAGAAATATCGACGCGCTCGGTTGCCAATGACTCGCTAACGATCATTATGCCCGATAATGCCTAACCCTCCCCCTCGTGTCGGATTCCGGTGTTTCCGATACACCCGTCGTATCAATTATCAAGCAGACTTCGCCGCGATCATGATTTCGCCGCGGAATTAATTTCCCCGTGGATCGTTGCGCCCGGATAATCCGCGCGTCGTTCGTAATTACGCTAACGAGATCGCCGCTCAGCGTCTTCGATAATCGGAGGCAATTACTTCACGAGCATAGTCACGATGGACGTCCGTTGTATTGCTAGGCATAGTTTCGCCTCGAACGAATCGAGAGCGGCCGTCGAAGCCGCATTAACGTCGAGAACTTTCGCAAGCGTCGCTGAAAATGTGAGCCGATCGCGGCTGCATCGATCTCCCGCCGATTTATTGGCCTGACCGTGTTTCTTATTGTAATTGCTTCTTACTGTTTTGCTTCTATTGTATCACGGATTTCCATTCCTATATTGTCCCAGAGAAAAGTAAAATCGTCAGAAAACATGACTAGACGTTACGTTTAATATTTCTTCTGTAACGTGTGTCTTCGCTAAATAAATTTACGAATTTATCTGCAAGACGTCGATAACTGACCAAAGTTTATCAAAATATCGAAGAACAAATGTTCCTTCCGGCGAAGCATTCGACGCTCGCATGTGTAATTTTCAAGTACAGCCGTAATTAAAACGGTTGGGCACGAGCTCGACCGAGATCTAAACGGCCGAGGCAGGCATGCGTGTCAATGCAAATCGTGATCGAATTACGGAAAATCAACCGACCGTCGAGGAAAAGTATCTTTCATCGCGATACGGCGTTCCATGATCGACGATCCCGTATCGCGATAATGCAACACGTATTTACAAGATTTTATATTCACTTTTGGGGATCGACGATCGACGTTAGGCTTCGCTGGCCTGTTCGTTTCGATAAAACGCTATTTCATCAACGTTGAGTAGCAAACACTGAACGACGGACCTTTTTAATCGATCGTGGCAAACTGGTTTGGATCGACATCGTTTCGTAAACAACGAGTGTCTGGAGGAAAATTCAACAACTTCTAACGACCCGAATTAATTGACGGATTGTAGAGAGAAGAGATAAAAATCGAAATTATACTGTACCAACGCTTTCGTGAACCGCTTCGTACTTAATGGCTACAATTACAGAAATATATTAGGTATATATATTAGCTTTGCATCTCTGTATACATAAATACTGTTAAAAGCGTCCTCGAGTACCATTAGAAACACGTTCTAGCACTCACACGCTAAAAATTCTTGAGCCACACACTGTATGCGAGCACAGAATTCTTTTCCCCTGAATTGCTCCATTCGAGGATCCTCGATAGCTTTCTGGGGACTCTTTGGATCTGTACTGCTTCCCATCGATGACGCTCGGTCCTCCACCTTTGTCATCGATTCCCTTGCGATGCCAGTTATCCGTTAATAATAGAAGTACCTGTAAAAGGCTGCAACAGAAAATTACACACATTTGTTTATTAGTTAAAATCTTTAGTACAAGGGCGAGGTTGGACAAATGTATTTTACACCGTCTTTATTAAAATCAGAGACATTTAAAATAGAGGTCCACTATTAAAATCTCGAAGCACTTTTTCTCGACATTCTACGTTGAGAAGCCTTTCCTTTCTAACAGAGTCTTCGTAGCCACGAAGATTCCCCGGTAAAGGCGAGATCCAGCACGATTTTCATCTACGATTGCTTGGCTAACTGGCAAACTCCCGTTTCCGCGAGTAATCGTCGGGACACCTGACCGCTGGTAATGAGAAGTCAGGCCCGGGACCACTTCAAAGCCGTTAATTACAGGACCCTCGTCACCGTGCCTCGACGCCCTTCCCTCTCGTCATCTCCCTTTGATTGGTAAGTGCTCGGTTTTCTGGCCGCTGGGCTCCGGGTGCTCTCGCCGCGCGCCAGCCCGTACGCGACGCTGACAATAAAGTTAACCGCGACGCAAAAGGGAGAACCGAGTAAGTTCCATTAGGGAGCCCAAGGGGCGTTCGTAAATTTAGGCCCCCTCGAGGGTGGCGGGCTCGCGAGAGTGCTCGTTCTCGAGAAGGGCTATTTGTTGCTCGCGTCTCTCGATGCTACGGTTGATTAATTTTTCAGGGGGCCAACTTTCCAAGATTATTGTTTTCCCTACTTTTGCATTTGCCCGACTCAAGAATTCCACGCCATTGTCTCATCGTTATTATCAGTCTTTCAAAGCACTCTTCGGATCAACTTTAAGAATATTCTTTAAACAAATGCAATTTTTACCAATCTGTTTGTACAGTTAAATTCCTCGCAAGGAAATACAAAATTCATCCCTTTATGCTTCTCCTATATTTCTAATAGTTCGCGAGATACTCGAGAATTCACACCTTCGACATGGACGATAAAGAAACAAGTACAGGACAAATATTTTTGGTAATTTTGCAGAATTTCACGTTCCTTTACGATTGGAAGCAGTACGCTTGGTACGATAGGTAAAACTCTGTCGTACTTTCTGTGCGTTTCGAGCTAATATCCCGTGAAGCACTTAGCAGAGATGCTCCCGAACGGCGGAGTTCTCTTCTTAGGGAGCATCCCTGGAAATGAAACTTCGTTTTTCACGCCCTCCTTTTCGACCCCAGAGAAATTTCCGGACAGGAACGTCCGGAGGGTAGCGGCTCTTTGCGCGTCGCCTAACTAAACGCGGATGGTCGAGCACGAGCCTCGTTCAAGGTTACCGTGAGCTTTGATTTCTGAAAGCTTGAACGCGTAGAAGAATCCATGGAAACCCTCCACAGGTTAAACATTAAAGCTTACAGCTTTATGTCAGAACTATTGCTACGATGGTCAGGAATTTCTAAAAGAACGGCAGTATTTGTTTGCTTGTATTTCATCGTTAACACGACGAACAAGATGGAATCTAAATACGTCTGAATATGTCTGAAAAATAGACGCGTTAACCCCGTGGTCTTCTAGTTCGAAAGATATTAAAAATATTAGCTAGCAGCAGGGAACAATGGCTACCATATGAAAGTATCTTCCAACGGATCAGTGGCCTGAGTTTAACGTGGCTTCTTAGTCCAAGATATTAAGATAAACGAGCGGCGAATTAAATAATGCTCCGTACTCGCGTTATCTGCCTAGCCAGCGAGCTAATCTCGCGAATTATCTCGATAAAGTAGCGGTCGTTTTCCAACGACTTTCGGCCCCGACGTGGGTTTTAACGCGGTTTCTTACCCTTAGAGCGCCGCGACGTTAATCACCGCCCGGTGGCCGAGATTTACGTTCCCTCGCGTTGCATTCGCGAGCATTAACGAGTATAAAACCGCCCAGAGAGATATACGATGTACGAGCTCATAACCGACGCGCCTCCAAGATTTATTTACGCCTCGATCGACTTCTGTGCTCGCCGCGATCGACTGAAAACGCCACGGTACCCGGCGGCCATTGTTCGCCGCAGTTCGAGCGAAATGCGACCGCAGCTACGAAAACTGGTTCCCGCCGGGAGAAATCGTCGATAAGAAACCGAAGAAGACATTTTTCTGGAGGGACCAGCAAGTCTTCTCTCTTATTTCGTTTCGTTCGTATCGAAAGTTTAATCCTGCGAACAGGTGTTCCGAAGTGAAACGGTCATTTATTTTGTTCGTGCGATTTTTTCCCCCCGAGAAAAACTGGAATATCGACCAACGCTCTTAATTGGCAATCCAACACGAAAAATCTGGGTACATTAAAACGAATTTGTACCTGTCGCATTTTTATAGAGATTTTTATGTCTCGGTGTTTGCGGTCCTTGAAAACCAGTTTCCTAAACGTTGCTACTTTCCCGAAAGGCTTTCAACTTTTGCTGTCAAAGGATCGAATGCATCTCGAAGGAATTTATTATCGAAAAATCCTACGAACGAAGCAAATATCCGGGACAAAGTCGTTCCGTCGGGAAAACGGTACAAAACGGTAATTTAATTTGCCGTTATTACTTATAATCACGGTGTGTGTCTCGTAATAATTCAAAGGGCAGCGGGTTTCGCGATCGGGGGCCTGTTTCTCTTAAATTATCTCTCGACCGCCTCGTTTGCGCGACTACGAACGGTCGGACGTTGGCAAAATTATGCGCGAAACGACCGTTAAAAATTCACGACGGATTAAATAACCGTTCGTTACGATTATTTTAAATTATATTACCGTTCCTCGTTACCAAAGTGTACGCGTACCGCGCGCCATATTATATCCTTTCGCGTGAAAGGCGCGGCGAAATGCGCGCAATGGATAATTCGTTAACGACGCTGACCCACGGTAAAGCGAGCAACGGTAGCCTAATGACGTGCAATCATGCATGCTCGCGATTATAAATCCTCAATTTACCTCCTACGTGGACCCTGGGACCGAACCCGCCTCGTCGTAAAAACCACGTAACATATTAAACGTTACCCGTTCGAGGCGGAGAAAAATGCAAATTGAATTTCACTCTTAATTTTACTCGGCGATCATTTTTTTTCGCTTAAGCGACTCGCAGATTTTTACGGCGGTATTTGGCGGAGAGTAATAATTATTTATGAAACGTTCGACGCGTTTGAGAAACGCTTTTCGCGACGGGTGAGAAAGTGCAAAGAAACACGGCGAAACAAAGAGTGGCGAACTTGACCGTGACAGTTCGGACGATGGAAGTCTATTGACCTCACCGGAAGTCCGATCTCAAGGTTCCGAAAAAGAGGCGACCTTGTCGTCGACCCGAGTGACCTCGGAGCACCTGTTACGCCACGCGAAGTGGTTCGAGTAAGGTTACGCGCGCAAACGAGTTTAAGTCACGAGGCCGACGAAAACACTTTCACCGACCCGCCATAAAGCGGTTTCGCCTAAGTGGATCCCGCCAAGGCTGACTCTTCTTCGAGGAAACCGGTATTCCCTGTTCGACACCGCGAACCATCTACCAGGAAATCGCGGCTGGACGAGGATCCAGAAACCGAGGCTACAAGGCCCGCCATTTCCACCAGGATTATTTTCTGACGCGATTTACGAGAGAAAATACTGCTATCTCGGACTTGGATCTGTTCGTTCGTCGATTATAAACCGTAAGATATAGTGATTGATATTCCAAAGAGGTTCTCGCGTACTCAACCTAACCTTCGTCTTACTTATTAACGACATTTCCGCATGCAGTGATTTTCCACGTTAATTTATCACGTGTAAATGCATAAAGCTAGTCTATGTACAATATATACAAAATTATTATAGTCACCAAGAAACTGGAAGCTCGTATAGTACCATAGCAAATGACTTACCTTTCTCATCTTCTCTGTCTTATGTACAAAATGTTAACAACACAAGTATACGAATTGGAGCAGACGTCCGGTCTATTCAACCGTACGCTTCTTAGCGCGGATTAGTACACATATGTACATCTTATTAGTAAGTACGCGACAGGTTAGCGTTAAACAAACACCCTCGTTCTTCACCAGTGACTTTTGAAATCTACGCGGAAGGTCGCTTTCGAGTGACAAGAAGGTTGCGTTACTCTTTCTCGTAGGCGTTCGTTAGAAGTTCGAGAGGATGGGGATCCTCGTCCTCGGCGGGTTCACGATCGCGAACAGGATGGGATCGTCTTTCGCGGAAACGATCCAAGGATCGAGCGTGTGGCCTCCGCTCGGATCCTGGAGGCGGTTGGATTCATTGACATTGTGTACGCGAACAGTTTATACCGATTAATCAAGAACGTGCATGCTCGACGGACATTTAAATTAAATGTCTTCGAAGCGTAAAAATGGCGAGATTCAGGATGAAATCGCGTGACGTTCGATCGACGCAATTGCGTGGCTTGTTTAACCAGCTACGAAGATACGATAGAGTAAACTGGGACAGGGACGGCTGGATGATTCGACGTGTGTGGCAACAAATAAATAGCGTTTTATTCACAAGTTAAGTGCACAGGGCTGCGAGAGGAGCCGCAGGGTTGCGCGACGGTGCTCGGGGTTAGTTCTCCGACCCACCCCCCAAAAGTTACTCGTCGCCTCAGTGAGTCTTTGGTGGTCTCTCCTCTCGTATCGCTCTTTTCGCCCGTTCTTTCCTCGCGCGAACGGAAAAAAGCGGTCGCTTATCCCGCCGCTCAGAATCCAAACGACGATTTACCTGGGTTGGGTGGCACGAAGCCGTATCCGCTCGCGCCTGCTACCACTCCGCTCGTGTCGGCGCTGTTCGGCGGCGGACCGGGCGGGAACAACACTGGACCTGGCAATGGGAACGATTATGTAGTTTAAAATCATTCGTTGGTCCATGATTTTCATGTAACGATACCATTTTGTCGAAGAAAAGGATGGGAATATGGATCGTTCTGGTCGATAGAGCAGTGCCTCCAACGAAAATATTTTTTTTCATGGTGGAGGAACTTTAGTACAAGTAGAAACAGCGATTAATGGACAGACGCGGCAGGGAAGCTATACTTTCTTTTCGACTTATTTTTGAACGCAGAATCACTTCCTTGTTTAATTGCAAAATAAGGTGCAACGATATTTCGCTTTGCAAGCGTCCCGCGGAACGGTGAAAAAATTAGTAGAATGATTAATACGCCTTGGCGAACGGAATCGGCTCGAGTTGCATCAGACGTCGCGCGAAATGTTAAACGTCATCCGTCAAACGGTCCAGCGAGCGGTCGGCGTCGTGTCGTGTTCGCGTTTCCGTCGGTCGGATTTCAATCTTCTCTGGAATTTTAATTAGAAGCAGTTCGTTCTTCCCACGAGCATTACCATTTATGAAAAAATCATAAACGTTAACGAGGTCTCGGTAACGACCTGTCAAATCGCGATCTTTTCAGCCACCGTTTCGCCGCTTGCGGAGATCGCGTATCGATGAGATCGCGCGTGAGTTTCAGCGACCTCGATGACCCGTCTAGATCGCGAGCACCGGCACTCACGCGGCCGATCTTTATCGAAACTTGCACGAGCAAATCGTAGATCTGCGCGGGACGAATCGTTCCGGGACTGCTGGATCGTTTACGCAAGGATCGCGAAGCCGGTGGCCTTCACGGTCGTTGCTCGAGCACGATCGACGATCGACGCGATCCGAGGACCCCCGCGACGACCTTTCCTTCCTCGATCTTTCGTTGCATCTCTCTTACGTTGCCTCTGCCGGTTCTGCTCGACGAAGAGGATCGTGGAAAGGAATCGCGATCCAAGTTTTCGAGACGAGGTTGAGTCACAGGGGAGAAAGATTGAAACGCCGTTGGAACGAATGACCTAACACGCACGCTGGTTACGAATCGCCCGGTTTCAGCCGCAACTCGCCGTTTTGTCAGCGCCACTTTCCCGGTGATATTTATTGTAGGTGAGTTTGAACTTGGCACCCATTCCGGCGCACGTACGCTCGCGCCGCATTCCGCTCGATCGCAAGGACCGCGTATCCTGGTTACGTGTGCATCGACACGTGGCACACAGTAAATGTCAGATCGACGGAACTAATTTTAGAATGCGAGAAAACCCGGGATAATTGTCGCATCCAGACGAAAAAAGTTTTGAACTTGGATAAATCGAGATACTCCCTGTTGATCTCTTCGAGCAAAACAAGTTTCAGAAAAGTATATGTGGCGGAGAAACGAGCAACCAGTTAGTTAATTGACCAATTAATTGAATCATTATACCGCGAACGGGGCATCAAAAATAAACTCAAAATATAAAATATATTATATGTTTTGGGAAAATTGATTTTCAAGCTGCTTCAATCTTGTATGTGAAAATAGAAAACTACTCTCATCTGACAGATGCATCTACGTTATTTAATAGACATTCAATTTGCTTTCTGACTGAAATGATCAAACTAATAAGGACTTTTCAGGTAGAGAAGCTGAAACTTCGTTCGGAGATTATGTTTCCTGGTTTCCACAAAGAAGAAAAATCTGAACCGATCATTACCCATATTCCTGGCAGGCCAATTAACCAGCGATTAACCGATTCGTAAAAGATCGAAGTCTCGAGCACGGTGGTTCACGTGTGCATCGAGAAATCGGGCCAGAATCGATCTCCCGCATCCGTAAGCATGAACTTTCTTCTCTAAACGAACGCGTTAGGTTAATCGCGAGTCCCCCACAAATCTCCACTGTGGCTACGGTAAACCTGTTCCGGTAAAAGTGTTCACGTGTTCGCGGAAACGCCATGGAACCGATATAGAGATTGTCATCGTTCCTTCTTCCTCCTTCGTCATAATTTCCGCCCTCGATTTCGCGATCACGAGATCCGGAGATAATCGGTCTCGTTTACAGTCGCGTCATGCTTCAGTGGGAACGCTCGCAGAATTTAATTACCGCGTAAATTCGCCGGGGGTCCGCTGCTCTATCAACTAGCAAACATAATCTATAACATTAATACTGGATTCGAAGATAACGCAGAATCTGGGCGTACCAACTTATTTGCAGACTCGAATGGTATCGTTTATCCTAAATTGGTGAGGTGAATTATTATGGGTGTGCCTTCCAAAGAAGTTTGTAAGTGGAAAGAAAAAATAATGGAGTATTCAGGGTATCGACGATCGAGGCGATGATTCTACGTACCCCTGTTCGATCGTGGATCCCGCATCCCGGCGGATTGCCTGAGATAAGGGCCGAATCCTGCGAAGAGTTGACTATAGTCCTGGGCTGAGGTCACCGCCAGGACAACTACAACGAAGGCCAGCAGAATTTTCTGAAACGGAAACATCGATTCTATTAATTCGAGGCAAACTGCACCTGCGACTCTCCAATTACAGCATCCTCCGCTCTCGCGAACGGTTCTCTCCTAATCTCCGAGCACAAAATGTTACCCCAAAAACGAAAGTCGAAATCGTTCCGCCCGTAATCACGCGTTCCCGTCCGACTTTAATTAAATCTCGAGGGAAAATCGCTACGGTTCACCGTGGAAACCGCTGGAAAGTAGTTCGAGCCCCGCTGAACCGGAAGCGCCGCCGCGATTAATGCGGCGAATTCCGCGCTGCGGCAGGGAAAAATGATTAACACGACGCTTCGTTAGGCGTGCTCGAAAACGCTCGTAACGGGGATACGGTAACCTCGATCGAATGATTGACGACCGACCAGCCTCGTACACAGGGTGTACCCGATCGAAAGGGCAACAGTTCTCGAAAATTCGACCCTTATTAAACAGAAATCTCAACACATATTCTAATTTTTGCTGTTGGATCAACACGTAACTAGGAGAATTTCTAATCAATCGCTTAAATCTAGAAATTATACAGACGATCGATGGTCGAAATATTTATATTAAATTATGCATGTTCGCAATATCTAATGTATTTTGTTCGTTGGAATTTGATGTTTCTATATATACGTTTGATACGAGTTTCGTTCAATTGCGAATGAAATTCCCTTCCGTTTGGTTCCACCCTGTATAGCCACCGGACGGGGTGCAGGACAATTTTTACGAGCGGTTCGTTCGTTGGTTAACAATGGACGAGGATTTATGGACCAATAACCGGGGAATAAAATCAGCGCTCGAAGTGCTCATTTAGAGGCTGTTAGTTCCCTCTAACGTTTCTATTCGATCGAAACCCGTCGCCCGGAATGCGAGCTCCTCGTAAAGAGTTACTTAATAAATTAACAGGGATGAATTACGGTGAACGTCGTATACAACTCGGAGCACGGAGAGGTTTACGAGCCACTGTCTCGTTGAAGTCTGTTAAATATTTCCATTTTTAATCGATTCTTCCGTCCAGCAATCGGAGTGTTTCTAATTTTCACACGGAGACCTTTCTCTCGAACTTAAAATTTGATTGCTAATTCGAAGACCGGTTACGAAGCCAATCCCCGAGATAAACAATAAGTTAAGAACGATATAATCTACTCTGTATCGTAAAATGTACTTCTCTACGTTTACTTTCTTCCGAACGTGAGAGAAATAAAATTTTAATTGCCTTCGAACGGAATCGAAATCGACGAAGAATTGCGACACGGCCCCAGTTTCTCGACGTTTCCATCGAAGGGGATACATTAAACATAAATGCCATAAAGACAGTTTAAACGCGTTTCTGTTCCTGTCTATCCGTATATAAAATAAAACAGTAATATAAAGAATTTTGTATTGCATTATTATTCTAGTTTCTAAAAGGGTCTAATTGTTTATAGTTCGAAGTATCGATAAGCAAATATCCCATTGCATTCGGAGGCGATGAAATATTCTCGAGGCGTTATCTGTCCCCGAAACGGCTAAAATGGAGGCTCAGACTCGTAAAGACGACGCCGGGTCGAGGATCGATTCGGAAAATCCGATTTCGAGCCGTAAATTTCAGCGCGTATTCGCGCTAAAGCCCGGAGCAAAGAAGGAAATCGAGAAAGGCGACTCGAGTCCCGTCACGCGCGAACGAGATCCTCTCGTTTTTCATCGAGTCGCTTCCCGTTACGTAAAACCTGATGAAATCGTTATGCCACTTTGCGATTCCCTCGTCGCGGATTCCAACGACGTTACGGTCTTGGGAACAGAGATCTCCGTGCCTAGGAATAATTGCGCGCTCAGATCACGCCGATTATTAACCACGCCAGAGCCAGTCGCACGCGCGTTCATTCTTCTATCGGTTTTCTGCATTGAAAGCAAGGTGAGCCACGTCATCGCCGCGCGATTTCTTTCGCCTGTCACACAATGTCAAGGCGATCAATTGCCGTGAATTACGAGCACCGCGATAACAACCGCAATAACAACGGAAGATATCGCGTAACTTTCGTTGTTCAAGTTTCATACATTATCGTAACATTTGAAAATGTTCCGAGAAGTCTCGAGTTCCGTTAGAGACTGGTCACGAGGTCGATGGAATTCTAAATGAAATTTGAATATTATGTCGACGGATAACACGGAGCTGACCGATTGTTTAATTTCGGTCTCTGTTAATAAATTCGTCCCTGGGATCCAATTAAAATACTGGGCGGGTTGCATAAAATGAATTCGCGTTACACGCCTGCTGCGCGAATCGAGTTACGGCATGGATTTGCTTGTCGCAACGGTAAAAGATGTTGTTCCGAGCGGCGGGAACGACAGCTTGATGATAAGTCTACGGCGAGCACGAGCGCGGATCGCCCCGTTGATTGGCACCGGCATTAATTAGCGATCCCACCACGGACAAATAAAGTTGTAACCGTGCAATTTGCGCCTCCGGATCGCGAGGGCGGGGAGAAGTTACCCTCGAAGCGCGAACGTTTTCTTCGAATCGCGAGAGGCCCCTTCGAAGGAAAATGCTAATCCGTTACCGGGAAATACTGAATTCCGGAGGCATTTTCTGGCAGCCACGGGAAGCACCGGAAGGCTGAATCGAGGCAACGATTCTAATTATTGATATTAGTGATAACAGAAAGAAGGAAGAGGCGATGACCACTAAAATATCACACGAAACAACTTTGCATCGAAACCCAAATGAAACCAATTCTACAACGACAATGTCAACTATCCCACGCAATGTTTGTAATATCAAGTTTGAAAGAAAAATCGATCCACGAAGCAAATTCGAAATTGCAGAGACAAGTATTTCCGACGTCTGGTTACGGCGGAGACGGAAACGATTAAAATTGTTTCGTGGGACCGTATTGTTCCCATTGGCTCGAAGGGTGAAAACGTGGAAGAAACCGATTCTCCGAAGCTGCTTTTGTGGAGAGTCGGTTCGATTGTGGGTACGAAGGCACGAGGTCGCCCACAAACCGCGGCACACATGTGCGTGCACCGTGACGATAGATCACGCCGCCGTGATATCCGAGCCAACGCGCGCCGATGATCGCTAGGAAAAACCGCGGCACGTAGATCCCTCGAGGTGTGCGTGTAATTTATGCCCCGTTGCGAAATAATTGTAAACAGTTGCATATTTGCCAGGGTGAAGCGCCTCGAAACGCAGCGGGGAACCCGAGCGGAGGTAACGAGAGAAGCGTAACTCGACCAACGTTTTCCACCGACGAATTAATGGACTTGTTCGAGATTGATCAGAGTCGTTTTATTAAGGGGTTGTTGTTGCCTTTCGGAGAAAGTTTTCGGTGAATGGATCGTTGCACCACGGGTGTGATTTTTAGCTCCGTGTCGAGCGATTGGCCAACGTTCGACCGGTTCAAGAGTCTACGAACACTTTTACCTTCTCCACGCCCACCCGGGCGAATATTTTTGGTGCAGTTCGAGGGGATATGGATCTACGAGTTCGCAATAAACTGGAGTCGTTGCGCAAATTTGATGTTTAGAGCGAAGGGGATGGAGAATAAGGATTATCGGTTATGTGAATTAAGGTTTCCACGCCTGGTTTTACTCTGTTTCCTTCTTATTTCCTGTTTCGATAATTATAGAGGCAAACGACTGGTGTTGCTTTTGAAATCATTGGTATCCCTGTAATAGATGCTTGATAACTATTTGGAAATATAGAGCAGTTCGATAATTGTCTTGTTATTTTTTACGGAAAAGTACGTTTCAGAACTTTTGCTTGTTTTCGAGGCGTCGAACTGTTTACTTTGCTTTCGTTTCGTTTTCCCTCAGCCGTCTCTCGATTTCCTTTCTATTTAATAATCAATGAACAACCGTACCGATCTGCCCAGCGCATAATTTTCCTTTCGTTTCGTGCAGAATCGCCCCAGGATGTTCGATTTCGCTCGTTTCCTGATAACTTTCGACATTCCTTGTTCGATACCGCGAACCATCGAAAGTGCACAAGTTTTGTTCCTACATTGTTCGGCTCGTGATAAGCATCGTAGCCTACTGAGCGTATCACGAAGCTTGAATAACGATTACTTTCTCTGATAATGATCTCGATTATAAGTTACGATGGTTAAGCGACCGAAACTACCGGAGCATCGTAACAGTTCCTCGCCGAACGAAATAAAGGAAAACGAGTTTAGCCCGAAAATATTCTTTCCCTCCGACGTTTTAGATTTATGAAATCGAACGGTAAAAGGTCCGACCCTTTAACCCTCCGTTGCGTAACGTGCTCGATCGAGGACCTAATCGAAGCAATCCGCGTAAAGTTCATCGAGGAAATTCTCCGCGATTCATGGTGTTCCTTATAGGGACACGTAATAGAGCAGGTTCGGTTGCTCGTTATCTAGTTTCAGTATTAATTGATTCCTCTCTCGAAAGGTGAAATGAAATTCACCCAACATATTAAAACATTATTTTAACTGAAGTTTATCCGTCTATTAACTCTTTTTCTTTTGGAAGTAGAAAGACGGAACCTAGTGTTGTGAAACAAAATTTTCAGAATAATAAATACGTATCTACCGTGCCAAACTTGGAAATGAAATTGGAATCGACTGAAATAGATATTTACTGATCAAATTTTGATCAATCCTGACGAATCCTTCACCCATCACGAGTTACGAAACGATCAACCGCCCAAGGGATAGGGATCTATCGAAGAGCCAATATCCCAGGTGACAACGAACGCGTTCAAGGGGCGTAATTCCATTAGATCCAAGAGAAAGGCAACTTCCCGTCGACGCAATGATCTCTCGATCGTTGCGTACGCAACGGGACCCCGTCGAGTTTCGAGTTTCGAGTTTCTCCCTCGACGTGTACACGCGTTGCTTCTCGTGCACATTACGCCCGATCCATTAGATCGCGTAGCGAAATATTCAGTCAAGTGCTTCCGCGTTTAAAGCCAAGAGAAACTGCCCATCCCTCCTGCTCCAACGTTCGCTCCAACGAGCATTCTACGTCATTAATAACAGTCGATGCAA